AAAAGTGAATAATCATACTCAAAAGTCAAAACAATAAATCTTATTTCAATTACGGTAGATTTGTGAATTTTTGATTGCATCCATGTGAAAAAGGAATGTCGTGGCATGACTGCATCATCTGTCGTGTATTTAAAAAAAAAAACTATTTTCGTCGCGTGTTCCCATCATGCAATGTAAAGTACTGTAATAGGCTTGCATAAACTCGGTTATCTGTACCAAAGCTTACAATGATGGGCGATGCCCAATTGATATGTAGATTGATGACTTGTCTGCATTCTAGTTCTTAGACTGAATGATTTATTTGAATAAATTATGTCCATTTATAATGACTTGAAATAATGCCTGTATACCCGCATGGTATTGGACAACTTTTCATTCAGTGTCAGATCGTTATGACACAACGGGACCTTAAATAAAATTGGTGTCTCCAATATCTGTGTAGTGAATTTATAAACAGTTGTCAGGTTTGTTGTTAGTTTTGCAACATTGTAGACAAACCGTAGACTTGGTGTCACCACCGAAATAGACAGCTCCACTGACAGAGTTTACTTCTGTCACCATCTTTACAATGTCGTCAAGGGATGGCAGAATTTGCATGCAAAATTCACTGTGCATGCAATTTTCAAGAAGGTGATGTACTTCCAAATATTGAACTGTTGGTTTCAGTGTCAATAGTTGAGTCATAATGTCATACAGCACATTTAATTGTACATAAAAACTAAAACATGCATTTGAAAGAAATTCAAACTTGTAGATAAATGAAAATCTTTTTACTCGAGTGTCACTAGATGATGCAACCAATAGACCAACTCTTGAAATGTTGCAGATCAGCCTCCCATTGGTCATAAGACATAAATCAGCTTTTAATATGTACACGAGGACATTTCTTATTTCTGAATAGTTTATGAAATTCAACGTTGAAAAAATATTCCCCAATATTTCTTGATGATTCAAGTATTTTTTGACACTGACAGTGTACATGTCGGCAGTCGACTGAAACTTTGATCACTCACGAAGTAATCATGTGGTACGTCACCGTACGTGATGTCACTATTTCGGTGACACTCTAGCGTTTGTCTACAATGTTGCAGAACTGATAACAATGGGGACATGTTTAAAAATTCACTAGTAAATTTAGAAACCAATTAGAAAAAAGGGTCTCAACATTGAGACAACATTTTTTTTTTTTTGAAGTTTCGCTGAAAGTTGCCTATTTTGAAAATCAATTTTAATTTTCACACTTAAACATTCGTTTTCTCTTTTTTGTATACTATTCAAAACTTTCACTGTGCCATCAGACATCAGGGTAGCACATTTTGATTTTCAGTTTCAACCATTAAATTTTAAGATAAATGCTTTAAAAATGACAGGATTTAGCTTTCAAAACACTTTATTTTAGTTACACTTATGTAAGATATTTTTAATGTAAATCTTCATCCATGTTGTAGTCATCCAAGTATCGTTTATTTGAACAAATAAAGAAAATTTATATGGAGTAGTATACCCTATTAACATGAGGATGGTGATAACTTTTGTATATGATCGAGTTTCTTTCCACTGTGCATATAAAAGGTGGGTACGGATAAGTGTGTACAACTTGTAGAGCCGCCTCTTGAAATCACGCAATGAACTCCCATACCGAGAGACAATGGCACATTTGTCATAAGATATGCACCTTGTTAAAACCGTTTTGTATCTTGTCCACATTTTTTTTTTCATTTGATTGAAGTGTTTATTCTCCTAAATGGTTTTATTATAAAGCCAATGTGTAAATATGCAAATTAGTTTGGTATATACACACGCACATGTCTACTGTATTATATTGGACTGCTGACAATGATTTTTCGAAGTGCATTTCAAGTTGAGATATTTTTTGTTTATTCACAAATCTGTGCCATCAACATTGGCCACTAGTTGTGTGAATAGCGGACTGATCTTTGTGCCAAAAACCACTTCATGATTATTTGTATGCAAATTTTTGTCGCATGATTTCAAATTAGACGATCATTACATTGCATCCACCTGACATGTCTATGGCAGTTTCCAGCCCTTTATATTCATAAACCCTTGTGCGTAAATTATTAGCACAATTCTGCTGTGTTGAAGTTCGTATACGTAAATGTGAGTGTCTTTCAAGTAGGACCCATTTGACGTAGGCGTTCTTCTCCGACAACCTAGGTATTTTGAAGTAGTCTTGAATAAAATTGATCATGGTTTCCGTGGTAACGGTTCCGTGGTCTACTGCATACTTTTATTAGATTTGTTTAACTGTCTGTGTGCTTCAATATATGTGATGAAGCTGTCCCTCAAGCCACCTCAGACTCGACTGACCCATTTTTTTTTTTTCTCTTAATTACAGAGATTACTCGGTGGTTCAGTATGTGACAATGATTCAAAGTGTGCTTCGGTAAGTCCACATTTGCATACCTGGCTATCTTGGGATATTCGGAAGAATGACCAATGAGTGACCACTACAACAATAGCCATTGTTCACTGATAAAAAGTGTGCTGATTTTAATGGAAGTGCAATCAGAAAAAAATATCTTGTTTCGTTCTGTTTTATTTGGTACAAAGAAAATAAATGTAAATGTTATAATGGCTTTCTACTTAGGGTAAAATGGTGTCTAGAACTACC